TAGGTGGAAATAATTTTACATTCCTCATAAATGACGTAGGAAAGCATTTTTCTCTATTACCTCAACCCTAAAGCCAGGCAGCTGACAGTAAAGAAGATGGAAACCGCAAGGTAAGTTCTATTGATTGACGTACGTGTCCACCAATGTACGACGGAAAGAGGGAGGCGGGAAAAGCCAGCATCCAATCAGAATGCTGGGGCCGCGGGAGGGGCGGAGCTTGCTGAACGGGCTCGCCGCCGGGTCGGCGGGCTGGAGAAGGAGCGAAGATGGCGGAGTGAGGTGCGCCGCGGAGCGCGGCCTCGGGGCCGCGGGCGGGCCCGCCGAGTTCCGCGCCTGAGGAGTGTGGGGGTAAGGCGAGAAGGCTCGCGAGGGGGACGAGCAGGCGGTGGGGATGTGGCGCGCCGGGGTCCGGTCCGGCGGGCCTCAGCGGCCGGCTTCCGTCCTCGGTCGCCCGGGGCGGCCCCCCGCCTTCCGCCAGTGCCGCGCACCCCGCTTTCTCCTCGCGCGCCGCTCCTTCCCCTGACGCCCTTTGTGTATCGGCCCTCTTCTCTGGGGATTGGGCCCCCTCGGATGCACCGACTCCTTTTCTGTGATAGCTTTGCCCTTTTGATGTATTAAAGCCCTCACTTTACGGCTTAGTCGCCACTCCGTTGCGGAGCCTCCGCTACCAGTCGCGGCCTGTCGCGGCCCAGCGTTTGACTCGTTGACCTTGAGATTTGGCCTCAGAAGACCGACTCCTCGGGGCGGAGTACGTGTCGCGTGGGCATGCTCCTTGACCTCTACTGTAGTTACCGGTGTCCACGTTCACCTCCCAAACTTTTCTGATGCCCGATAGCAGCTTTGTCCTTGTGTGTCCTGATAATTGCCCGATGGTGTACAGTTGGGTTTTTATAGCGTGAGCTTGAGAAATGGCTTTTGGACACATTCTTACAGAATTAGTGAAAGGTGTGGGGGGGTTATATACTGTCGCAATACCATCGAGCATTTGTATTTGGTTCTTGTGGAGTTTTTATGGGTTTTCCCCTTTATTTTTGGATGGTATAGCCCCACATTCGATCGGTTTGCCAAATTCTAAGGAAAGTTCTTACATGTTAATTCGGTTTCTTAATTGGTGAAGCCTCTTAAAAATGTAGCACGAATTTAGTTGAGTCCAGTTGAAATGGTTCATTGTACAGATAATTGCTTCTGGTAGATTATGTGCTCTGCTGGCCAGATAATTTGCAGAGATGAGACTTTCTTGTAACGAAGTGCTGCTCAATAAGCTCTTCCTGTCGGTTTTGTCTGTTTTTATCTCATCTAGGAAAATAAAGATGATGTGAGACAAAGGAAAGAAGTGGAATATGGGTCCTCTCTCCTTATAGGGGAGTGGCAGTATGCCCGAACACATAGATCTTAAGCTAGAGAGTATACAGGTTTGGGAATTTCATGCACATGGTTCCATTTTTGTGGAGAGAAGAGGGCCGATAGCCTCATCAGATTCTCTAAAAGGAACAGGGAGAGAATGCTTCCAGTTTTGACGTCTCCAAAATCGTATAAATATGTGCATCATTTCCATAAAAAACAGTAACTGCTTTATGATGGTTCTGTCTGAATATTTTGAGATAGTGTTTTTGTGTTGTGTTTTAAGCTTAGTTCATTTCCATTTTGCACACTAATTGCACCTCACACCAGTAGGGGCTCTATCATCACTTGCACTTTCTTTGTATTTTCAGCTTTCACCTCATAAGAAGAACATTTTCCTTGACCTTTAGGTGCTTTTATATTTTCTTCATCTCAGAAAGAACAAAAGAATTCTGAACTCAGGACTTGGCAAGTAAGTAACAATGGGTTAACCAGTCCAAATAAAATTCTTGCAGTTTGAAAGTAGCCAGCTAGAAGTAGAACAAGAAACTGTTACCTTCAGTAGAAGGTAACTTAGTAACAAAAGTGACTATAAATTATTGATGTTTAAGCCAAATCTTTTATTTCCTCAACGAAAGCAGTGTATAAAAAGAAAATAAAAACTTGATCATCTGTTCTACCATTAATTTTTATTACATAAAGGCAAAAAGAGACATGTCATTAGCTCAATGGGAATCAAGTGATGAATAAATAAATATAACTAGGAACATCTTAGAATGTACACTACTTCTCACTGCCTCATTAGCTGACATGTTGCATTTAGGGCAATAGTAAAAAAAATCTCGCATACCCTGCATGGCGTTCCCTGCTGGCTGTAAATCCTGACCCAGTCAGCTCTGCTAGTTTGTAGAAAATGGCCTAGCCTTTCGGCCGGAAATGCCATCTTGCAGTGACCTGCCCAAAATGACGAACAAGGGAAAGAGGATGGGCACCCGCTAACTGTTCTCCAAACCCTTCAGGGAGCATGACTTTGTTCCGCTAGCCACATATATGCAGATCTACAAGAAAGGTGACATTGTGGACAATCAAGGGCATGGACACTGTTCAGAAAGGAATGACGCACTAATGTCACCAGGGGAAAACCAGACGTATTTACAATGTGACCCAGCATGCCATTGGCACTGTGAACAAGCAAGATCTTGGAGAATGTGCTTATTGAGCACATTCAGCACTCGAAGAGCTGGTGCAGCTTCCTGAAGCGTGTGAAGGAGAATGACCAGAAGGAGGAGGCCAAGGAGAAAGGCATCTGGGTACAGCTGAAGTGTCAGCCTGCCCCCCAAAGAGGCCCCCTTTGTGGGGACCAGTGGGAAAGAGCCCGAGCTGCTGGAGCCTGGGTTCATGGCTTAGTCTGTGTGAAATAAAGCTGTCCCGCGAGGGGGAAAAATGGCCTAAATCCAAGTGCAGAAGTCACATTGCAAAGACCAGCAAGCTCTGCTGCAGGCTGGCAGTGCTCCAGACCTGCAGCCCTTGGCTGCAAGCCCCAGGGCGCCATCTCTGGAATGACTCCTGGAGCCAGAGGTTACTGCAGTTTCACAGAATGCCGTTTTTTCACTTAACATTCAGTAAGTCAGGAGTGACTGCTTTTTAAAATGTCATACAAATAGTAATAGTCCAATCATTAATTTTAGCATACTGTAATATTCCTAGGTACGAGTTTATTTTTCTGTGCCAAGTATTGGTATCTGTTGAATTTACCATTGAAGTAGATTCTGTCCAAAGACTAAGTAGTATACGTAGTGTGCTTTCTTAGTTGATAGTCCTATCTACAGCAGACTTCATACCTATTAGTCAAATTCTTGATTTATATCATTCAGTGTACAATTGCTTTAAGGTTTAAAAATGGTGCTTCTATGAGAGGGGTCTTCAGAAAAAATTGAATTCAACTGGGATTTTCCCGCCATTGCATATATTTTATTAGAGGAAAAACTAGTGGGGCAAAGTGTCCTTAAAGTAATAGTCTTTGTTATAAGCCCTTGGTGGGAGACTTTACTGCTTGGATTTAGAACTCTTAAGTTCAGGTATACAGTAATAGAAACTTGTCATTGGAATACTCTAATATTGATAGCAATCTAAAAATCCACAATTGTGAACTGATGTAAATAAATTTTGGTGCTTCTATATTTATACCTTTAGCTCTCCTGATATGGAGTGATCTCTAATATATATAAAAGAAAGCGCAAGGAAAACAATGCTTATACTGTCCTTTCATTGAGGGGGATACATTTATTTATAAAGATGTTATGATAGTCATAGAATATCTCTAAAAAGGTAAGAAACTTTTATTTTTTATTTCATATCACATCATTTAAATAAATAATTTTTTCAAAGAAAGGAAGCATTCAATAGTTGATAAATGTCACATTGATAAAAGTTACATTTTTGCTCAGGCAGTGGTTCTTTATTAGTGTAAGCTCCCTTTCTGGGGTGTGGAAACATTCCAACTAGGCTTGTAGCTTTTTTTTTATAATGACTCTTAAAAATTAAATTTGAGTGATTATAATAATAACCATTTCATTTTGTGAAGTTATTCTGAATTCACTATGTAAAAAAAGGAGTATTATTTCCTATGATGTGTCATTTTTCCTATACTTCAAGGAAGCAAAGTATATCATTTATATATTTATAAATGATATATATAATTTATTGCTGTGTAACAAGTTACCCAAACTTTAATAGATTAAAGCCAGTAAATATTTATTACCTTGTCTCAAGTTTGTTGGGTCAGGAATTTGGGAACAGCTTAGCTAGAAGTTTCTGGTTTGAGACCTTCTTAAGAGGTTTCAGTCCAGAAATTGGTTGGCGGGATGAACAACAGAAATGTGGGTGAAGGGAGACAGCAGTTGGTGTAAGATATGAAAACAATAATAATTATAATTTTATCAAGGGGTCATGGGGGGAAGAGGAGCTGATACCAAGGGCTCAAGTATAAAGTAAATGTTTAGAAAATGATGTACATATGGCAACATAGGTACAAATATGCTTGATACAATTGATGTATGGAATGTTATGAGAGCTGTAAGAGCCCCCAATAAAATGATTGTTAAAAAGAAGAGAAATTGTTTGGGGCACCAGTATCTGATCCACTTCCAGGCTGACTCATCCAAATGACTAACAAATTGGTCATGGTTGGTTAAAACTCAAACGATTCTGACTCATAGTGACTCTATAGGGTTCCCAAGGATATAAATCTTAATAGGAGCAGATAGCTTTCTCTTTTGGAGTGGCTGATGGTTTTGATCTGTATACCTTGTGACTTACCCAAGTGTCATCAGTGTGGTTTGTTCCCAAAACCCACTGCCTTCAGTTCTAATGCTTAGCAACCCTATCAAGGGTTTCTCTTTTAACTGGAGCAGAGAGCCTCAACCTTCTCCTGTAGAGCACCTGTTGGGTTTGAACTGCTAATCTTTGAGATACCGTTCAAGTGCTTACCCAGCAGTACTGACTCCATTCCTCCCAATGTAGGCCACCTCCAGGTCTGCTAGAAGTGACCTCATGATATAGCCGCTGGCTTCTCCCTGAACAGCAATCCAAGAGAACAATGCAGAAGCCACAGAGTCCTTTATGATCTTGCCATAACATTCTTTTGTCCTGTGGATTTATTGGTGTGGGAACAGATTATCAAAAGGTATAAATACCAGGAGCCAACAGTCACTGGGGACCTTGGAGGCTGACTTTCACAAAGTCATTTGACTCTAATATGGGTTTATAAAGCCAACATTCCTAAACAAGAAACTTCAGAGAGTCAGAAGTGTCTGGTGAGGTACGCAGTGAATATCATATGTATCTGCAATTTCTAGTTTGCTCCCTTAACTCTAGGATCAATATCTACTTAAATTTTTAATGCATGTAAGTATATTTAGAGGAGCTCTGGTCTTCTGGTGGCTTTGTCGAGTAGGCACTGGATTATTAACGACCCAACATTCAAACCCACCCATCACTTCTCAGGGAAAGATGAAGCTGCCTGTATCCCTTAAGATTTATAAAGCCTTGGAAACCCTATGTTGATTTGTTAGGTGCTCTTGGCACCATCCTTAAAATTGTTCTTGGTTTGAGCCCATTGTAGCCATTGTGTCAGTCATCTTGTCAAAGGCCTTCCTCTTTTGTTGTTGCCCCTCCATTTTACCAAGCATGATGTCCTATTCCAGGGACTGCTCTGATATGAGAAGAAGTCTTGCCATCCTTGCTTCTAAGGAGCACCTTGACCAAACTTCTTCCAAGGAAGTGTCTGTGGGTCGGGTCTGTATGCCAGCAGTGGAACATCTGAAAGGTGAGTGAGGGAAGCAGTTTGACTTACAACAGCACTTCAGAGAATAAAATACATAGGAACATATCTAACAGGGATGTGAAGGAATTATACCGTAAAGATTGTCCCGCACTACTAGAAAAGACTAAAGAAGAGTAAAATACATGGAAAGATGTTCCATGTTCATTGTGTTAGTTTGGGTAAACTACAGAAACAAATCCACAGAAACTCATGTACGTAAGAGAGACTTTTATATAAAGGTAATGTACCATTTATATAAAAGAGACCTTTATATAAAGGGTACATTAAGGAAGCATCCCAGCCCA